AGCCCAGGTGCCCTCCTCACAGGGCTGCCGCCATGAGGCCCGAGGCTTTGCCACCACGTAGCCGGGGTTTTGGGGCTGTGGAGCCGGGGCGGTGGGGGACATGACACACAATTTGGGGGGAAAGGGGGGCCCTGGGTGCCTGCGGTCCCCCCGGGTGTGAGATTTTGAAGGGCCTGAGCGGAGGGTGCCGGCTGAGCTCCTGCTGGCCCCCAAAGCTTGTGAGGCAGTCTGCTGGTGCCTCCTCCTCGGTCCGAAAACCTGCGTCGTTTTCCATGAAAAAAGGGGGATGCTGACCCAGTGATGAGAGAGGAAGACACCCAGTGTTTGTTAAAGAAGAGGAACACGAGAAACCTCGATAAGAACCAGAACTAATAAGTCCTGCCAAGAGCGGCCCTTGCGCATCACCTCCTGCCGTTCTTCCCAGGCACAGAGAGTGGCCCATGTCCTCTTACCCCAAAACCCCCAAACCCCATCCCTCCAGGCGGGAGTGACATCCATTTCAGACTACACCAAATGATGGCTTTTGGAGTGAGTTGCATTGAACTAGCAGGCCAGCAAAATGGAAACCTAGGAGCAGAAGCTCTTGAGCATGATGGAGGCAACAGCTCTGTCCCAGGTGCCTCGGATCTCACTGGGTGGCACAAGATGCAGCGTTCCCGTAAGGAGCTTGGTTTGAGGGAACCTTTGGAAGGCAAACGGAAGGACCCCAGATATCTTGGGTTTATTCACTGCTGCATCAAAGCGAGGAAGGAATCCAAGCAGAGTAGGAAGGCATGAGTTGTTTTGGGGTTTCTCTCCAGAATTGGTGCTGATATTGTTCCCGCTGATTTGCCAAGCAGATACAAAACTCAGTGTGCCTTAGTGTCCTACATAATTCAAGATCTGGTTCTAATTTTTTATTATTTTTAAAAGGCAGTGCAGAATGTACCAAGACCACAGTAGATGTGTTGCTTCTAGTTGCTTCTTTGTCAGACGACACCGTTCGCTAGCACTTACTTAGCCTCCTACTAGAAATCCCTCAGAAGTCCTGGATGCAGAACATCTGGACCTAGTTATGATTTTCTTTTCTGATAGTGCTGGTCTTTCTTATCAAAAAAAGATTAATTTGGCATTAAAGAACCTCTTCCCATTCCTTTTGGAGGAGTCAAATGCAAAGCAATTTGCATGCATGACAGTTTCTTTGCCTTCCTCTGCCAAAAGGGAATCCACTGGATTTCCTGTGTTTTTCTCAAGCTTTCTGCTTCTGGTATGTTGAAAATATTTATCTGATTTTTGCACCTGTAGCTCTATCCTTGTGGAAAAGCATCAGGTTTCTTTCCTTCATATGACATTTGTTTTATTTGCTGTTCCTACCTAGTGACTCCGCTTGGGACAGATTTCCAGATTTGTTTGCTTTATTGTACAGGCTCCTGGTCCTTCCACTTTAACTCTACTGATTTGCCTTATGCCATTTTGATTCAGAAATATTTTCATACTTCCTAGTGTTGCTCCATTCTTTCTCCTGCAGCATTTGGGAGGTAAAGCTTCCTGTGGCCATAGGCAGTTATTTCTGCATTAGTGGCGGCTGGCTTTCGAGCATTTTTCCTTGAGGTCTGTCAAACAAGGCAGCTCAGTGGCCACACTTGTCACTTTTGGCAGTGCCTGTATTTTGTCAGTAATGTTCATCTGCATGAAGTGCTCTGCCGGTTACAAAAGCAAGACTGCAACATCTGTGAAGCTTCAGATATCATTCTCAGCACTGGTGGAATTTGCATTTGTATTTATACACAACCATGTCTGAAGCCTCATAGCCTTTGTAGATGGTGTCACCCTAACCTACACAAATTATTCACCTCAGCCACTGTTGTCCTCTCTATTACAAAGAAAGTATTTTCAGGACCTGCTACAGGTATTATAACGATTGTGGAGGTGCCTATTGCATACCCAGGTCTTGCAGTGTAACCGTACATAATTGTGTGAATGCCTTTGGTCAAACTGGCTCCAAGTATCATCAGTTCTTGGTGGAGACTCATGAAGCAAGAGTAACTGTATTACAGTAAAAATCCAGTGCTCAGCTTGTGTTTTATGTCTTGAACAGCTTGCACCTTCTCCTTGTCCCCTTGGAGCTGCAGGGCTGACCAGGGCAATGGATTGACCCTGCACAGGTGCAAGTAGGACAGCTCTTCTGTGCGCCTGAGACTGGCCCTGGCGTGGAAAGCAAGGAGGAGGAGGAGGAGGAGGAGGATTAAACTGCCAGTTGTCATCAGAGGCAGCCGTGGGGCCCAAAGGTATCTGCATTAAGACATGAGTTACTAGTGTTCAAGGAGGTAAGCAGCAAGAAGGCCAAGTATGTAGATGGCACAAAGCTATTTAAAATTGTCAGAGGGCTAGAGAATGACAAGAGCTTTGGAGACATGTAAGAAAGCTGTGCTCATCAGCAACAGGAAGGCAAATGAAATTCAGCATCACTGTTCCCAAAGTCATGTAGCTGGAGGGAAAATGTAAACTGCATAAATACTTCTAGGCTTTGGCTTACTGTAACTGTACCAGGTCAGGCAAGAGCCCCAGGCATCACAACAGGCATTCCACTGAGGACACAGTGAACAGCTCGGTACAAGCTCATTGTTGTTCAGTGGGGAACTACAGTCAGAAGAGCAGACAAGAGGTCAGGAGCTGTGAAGGGCAGGATGGAAGTAATGTGGAGAAAGGCACCGTGCCTCCATGTAAGCCAGCACTGCTCTCCCACAGGGCTGCTGCCTCCTCTTCCAGAACAAAGGATCCAAGGAGAGTTGACCATGCATAGAGATGGGCCTGAAAACTGTCAGGGAGAAGGTCCCCAAAATCTGTGGTTTGTACCTGAAAAGCAATGAGCCAGGAGGGGATGGGGAAATAAGGAAAAAGGGATGTGATAAAAGGCAGTAGAATAATGACCATCCAAGAGACGATAGATTGGGAGTCCCTCTTCTTCCAGCCTTTGTGACTGGAGAAAAGAAAACAGATGATGAAAGCGGAAAGCTTTGAATTCAAAACTGATAAAGAGGAACAGTTTTCACACAATGAATAAGCAGACCCAAGGACTGATTGCCAGAGGAAGTCAGAAAGTACAAGAAAACAGCAAGATTTAAAGACAGACCAGGCACATACCTGAGCAATGAGAACATCCAGGCTGGTAACAAACAATGCTAAAAGTATTACGTACAGGAGGAGAGAGCATCCCACTGTGTATGAGAAGAGAGGGCAAATCACTGTCAGGCACTGAGAGAATATGATGTGGTCCTGCTGAATATTGGACTGCCCCTTAGCCCCACTGGGGCTAACCCACCTTTTCTCTATCTCCAAAGCATCTGGCAGAGAGAGGAGACTGAGCTAGACAGATCACTCCAACCTGAAAAAATTGCAGCATTATTGTTTGCCTAGGAAGATGACTGGTACCAGGCTGGACTGCCCTGCCTTATGTTGGTTCTGTTTCAATGTCTGCCTGAAATTGCATGGGACAGTTGAAGCAGACAAGCGTACCTTGCACCTCTGCTGCATTTCTCTAGGACTCAGTTGAGAAATGGGTATCATTTTCAGTAAAATACATGGCTAGCTGAGTAGGTAAAGAGCTGTGGAGTCCATACATGCTTCCCAGAGTGGGCTAGCTGGGACTTTTTGGGTGGTGCTCCACTACCCGCAGTCTGAGGATCTCAGAGTACATTCATTACCTGTGTGCCTGAACCTCTTGTGGGGGGAAGGTGAGAGCCACACAGCAAGAAGGCCTCTTCATGTGCCTACTGAAATAATGAAAAGCTGGCCTGCTAGTGAAGCCCTGTACTCAAGTCAAGAGAATCTTCCATCCTAAACATTGAGAGCTTAATTTTTGTACCATCACCTCCTTGAGCAGCTACAGCCTGGGGACACATATGGGAGAAATTACTCGTGTGACTCTCTTTACTAGTGAGGCTTTCTTCTGGGGTGGCATGCAATGACTGTTCAAAAGCAATACCGCAGTCCTCCATGGCTCTTTGGAGAGGAGGTGAAGAGCATTCTCTGACTACATGAAACCTAAACACTTTGGAAGTCTTGAGAGATGGGACCTGGCGGACTCACGCTTACGTTACTAAGTACATCTTTAGCAGGAGGAAAGTGACAGAGAGCCCTAACATCAGTTGAAGATCTATCAGGAAAATGTGAGGACTAAAGGAATAAATGAAGGAATGAACAGGGACAGCCAGACAGGAGGAAAAAAAAAGGCTCTGAAGCACAGCAAAAAGGAGAGACTGAATCTGTGATTCTTTCTTCTCTAGTGGCATTTAATTTCCCCTTCCCCACTGTGAAAATGTCAGCAATTAACTGGCAACTTCAGTAAAACAGAACTGAAAGAGAAGGCAGCAAAGTCCTTAGAAGTTGCTTCACACAGGCAGAGGTACACCCGGCACCATCAATAGGCGCAATCCTCTACAAGCACACGCAGGAGCCAGCAGGTTTTTTGTTAGACAGATTTATTTTAGGTTCTAAAACGAGTTTCTAATAAAATAAAATGCTCAAAATGTGCAACATGTACAGTCCTCTGTGGGGTACCCTCTGCCACTGGATGAACTTAAGAGAAGGGCAGAGCAGGGAGAGGGAGAAGAAAGCAGGCAGGGAGGAGAAAATGCCATCAGGCTGCAGGGGAACTGGGTTCCAGCCATCTCCTGCATCTAAGTGTCCCACCAGTGAAAGGTTGTGAGAGAGGCTGTGAAGGAGGGGCAAAGGGTGGGAGAGAGAAGTGGCACTGAAGCAGGGAATAGCTACTGGCTCAAATACTCCCAACAGCTCCAAAGCGCCTGCGCTGCCTGCCACCTTACTGCAGCGGTGAGTCCTGTCTTGCCCTGGTACGCAGCTTCCAGCCCCTCTTCAAGTACAGAGTTCCCACGGCCTCCTGCTATGTTCATGCCATCCCTAGACCCTCCTGAGAGGTCTGCATGGTGCCCATCTCTCTGCAGCATGGCACACAGAGTTTCATCCTCCCATGCAGACTGGGCCCGGTGTCCCTGCTCCCATCAGCACTCAGTTTGCTGGATCTTTTCTTTCTGGTTTTCCTCCATCTCCTTCTTCCTCGGCACAGTTACTGCAACCATCCCTTCCAGCGCTGGGAAGGCAGGAGACCGTGCCTGAAAGAGAAGAAAGGGGCAATATCAGGCATGGGAGGGAGACTGAATGGCACAAGTCTGGGCTTCTCCCTGCCATGGAAGACATGGTCCTACTGCTTGCAACCACGAGGCTCCCATTCCCTCCTAGAGCCAGGGAAGAGCCCCAGTCCTACTCTCCGAGACATGCAGTATCTTCTGGGGAAGGCTGGCTCAACACTATCCTCTGTGGTGTCATGGGCATAAGGAATAACAAAGACAGGACATGCTTAAGAGAGAGCAAAGAATGATCTGGGCAATGGTCAGGCCACTGTCAGGTTCAATGGTATGCCAGATTTTACAACACCTTTTCAGAGAGACTAATTAAAGGCATGAAGGTTCACCCAAAACGAGATAAGAACAGATTAAAGACAGAATCACTTTCACATCTTGCTTTAACACATGACTTTCTAGGCAATGGAAAAGAGGTAGATCTCAGGACTCCTGATAATGATAAAGTATATGGTGACACACAGACAATCAATACAGCAAGAAAGATGAGATTAGTAAAAGAATGGCATGGTAGGTGCGATCTCAGCTAAGAGGAAGGGACTGGGATTTTGCTGGCAGGTTTCTGTCAGGCTGTAGAGAAATGGTAAGCACAAGTTTTCAAAGATCAGTTGGTCCCACAGTCATTAATGCTTGGTCCACACAGAGACTGTGAAAGTGCTAACAAGTTATGTAGCTGGTAAAGTTGAGGAGCCTTATTTGGAAGAAAGAGGATGAAAATGTCACCCAAGACCCAGATATTTTAGGAGAATGGATCAGTAAACTGAATGACGGGGTGAATGAAATGCAGCTACCAACCGCACGTTGGTAGGCTCAGGGGATTGGAACAGGAATTCCTAATGTGTGGGCAATAGCCCATCAAGGGATACCAGTGAGCAGTCAGTGTTCAACAGATGCAAGAAGAGCAAATGTAATCTCAGAGAATGCCAGCAGAGAGAGGGAGAGAACAAGAGAAGAGCTCATATCTCTGCTCAAGGCACCTCATCTACACTCTCACAAAGGCTCAGCCCACCGGGGAGACTCTGCAGAGAAGGGCATGAGGACCATCCATGGATGGAGGACCTGTGCTGCAACAGAGGAGCTTTCCTTACTTGGCAAAGCAAGGCCATGAGGGCATATACAAATGCTTTGAGGTGGTAAATATCCTGGCTGGATTAGAGCTGTTTAAGCTAACAGCTGGACACCCATATATCCTATTTCCTGCTAGCTGAGGCTTTACAGTTACATTGTCAAGGGGCTCCTGTCCAAGGTTTTGGGCCAGAAAGGGTGGTTCTGATCATCTTGTCCTGGACTTGCACAGTCGAGAAAGTCTCCGAGAAACTGTAGATTTCTGCCTCAGATTATCCATTACCATCAGTGCTGATTACGGACCGATGATGAAGAACCAGTCACGAGTCGCTCCAGCGCTACCCACAGTGCTTTTTTTAAAAATGCCTATCTTGCTTCTGTTCTGATGCTGCCTGTCTTCAGCCTCCAGCCACCGGGACTTGCTAAGAATTTGCATCAGTGCTGTCACATCCCTCGTCTTCAGCTCAAGGCAGGTTCAAGGCACTCAGCTATGTTGCCAGGGCAAGCTCTTCCAACCTGAGCTCTCTGAGCCACTGGCCCCTTCTTCACTGGAAGGGGATTTTCACTGTGGGCCCTTTCCGAGAAGCTAAGTAGAAGGCAACTACATCACAGCTACTAACGAAAGGTGTCCCTTGTCAGCAAAGGGAAACCCTGAAGGAAGAATTTGCCATGTAATGAATTTGCAGAGAAACAGTATGAAAACTGCAGAGAAACGGTCTGACTTGTTTGCACATTTTTTTCCAGTGGTGTGCTGGGGAGGGATCAGTCCTGGCCTGGTCTTTGGGATCATAAAGGCAAGGCAGAATTTTCAGAAGACGAGATACTGGAACAAGCTGAGCAAACGACAGGCAGTAAGTTGCTGGAAGCAGACAGCCGAGGTGTGAGGGCTGAGCCAGCAACAACAGACCTGCATCGAGATCAGCGTCTGGGGACCAGCAGGCATTTGTATGAAACAGGACACTCTGTTACATCAAACCATCCTGATAAGGAATAAGAGAGAGGGCACCTACAAAAGCCTGGAAATCAACCCTCGTCTATTTACAGTGTGGCTTGATCTCTGGGAGAATAAACAAGAAGCTTTTCAAGGCTGGGCTGTGACTGTCTCCTAGGAGGCTTTACCCCTCCTCTGAAGTGTCTGACCTGCCGCCGGACGAGTGCCATGGTTAGCCAGACCTGTCGCTGCCCAGGGTACAGCTTTCACTACATGTCCATGAGACCCTCAGCAGGCTGCCCAAGCCCCATTCTTCCTCTGGCTGCTGTGTCCCCGAGACATTTCACTGCTGTCTCTAGGGTACCCAGGGGAAGGTCAAATAAGGGCTGATGTACAGGAAAACTAACAGAAATGGGGTGATGGACACTTACCCTTTTTTGTAGGGCCAGAGCCAGAACACAGGCTGTAAGCAGGAGGAAGAGGGTGAGTGTGAGCCCAAAAGTAACCTGCCCACTGAAGATGGTGGGAGGGCTGGAGACCTGGGCACCTGTGAGGAGGAACCACAGTTAGGAAGGACGGGAAGGTTGATTTTGCACTGGGGCAAGGCTGGGACTGCACAAAGACGGGCAGACTGGAAAAGGGTGCAGGGAACTGGAAGGAGCAACAGGAGGAACTGGTGAGAGCTAAGACAGGATGACAACAAGATGGGATCCAAGTGGTCAAAGGGGAGAGGGACAGGGTGAGGCTGGGAGAGGAAGGGGCACCAGGGAAGTGAATAGGGAGAGAAGAAGGGGTTGGTTACAGATCCATGGGGGACAGTACCTGTGATCTGCAGCCCGTACTCCACTGCTCCCAGTTTGCCTTCTGGGCCATATACACTGCATTCCCACGTGCCTGTATCCTTTTGTGACACTTGGGGTATTTCCAAGGTAGGGCCCATCTGGGGTCTGTGGCCCTCCAGGTTACGGGAGGTGGCCACAGCCAGCTTGCTGTTCGTGGGGGCTGAGTCGAGGTGCTTCCACTGGAAATGTTCATGTCCCCGGCGGTGTGTGAGGCTGCAGATGAGCAGCAAGCGAGACCCCTCAGAAACCGGTCCTTGGATGCTTGGAGTAACTGCAGCAAAGGAAAAAAAAATACTTTCAGGAAAGACTACAGGCAGGTCCACATCTCTTCCTCATCCCTCCTTCTTCTGTTACACCCCTCCTTTACTACTTCCTCTAGTTTATTTTGTCTTCCTCAGTCTTAAGAAGAATAATCAAGTTACCCAGGAAAACTCCTGCTTTCAGCAGAGTCCAGTGCAGTGTAACGCCCGGAATAGAGACCTTGTTTTGCACCCTGGGGTGGGAACCTATGAGCCGAAGCAACCCATGCTCACCAGACTGACATGCGGGGAGGTTTATCTGCAAGCAGTGGGGGACCCCAGAGAAGTGATGCACCTCCCTGTCTCTCCTCTCACCTGTAACCACTGCCAAGGTCACGTTCCTGCTGATTTTCTTGCTGCCAACAGAGACAGCACAGTGGTACTGCCCTGCATCACCCAGCCCCACCGCAGGGAGGTGAAGCGGGAAGCTTCTGCTGCTCAAATTCCGGGAGATGCCCCAGTCTTGCAAGAGTCCTCCTGCAAGGCGGCTCCAGTGGGCTGTCACCAGGTTGATCCCAAAGGCACTGGGAAGGTAGCTCAGGGTACACGGCAGATCAGCTGCAGAGCCAGCTGCAGCATAGACCACAGGGTTGGGCGGGCCATCAAAACCTGAGCCAGAGAGAGAGGACAATGGGGGCTGGAAAGAGCTCTGCAGGAAGGTGACTGGCCTGGGAAGTGAGGACGGGGTGGGAGCTGGGAAGCTGGAGCCACTGGGGTTGGTCAGTCACATCAAAGGGAGCAACTTGGGGATGCTGGTGTAGCAACACAGAAGCTGAGCTCACCTAGAATTCGCAGGTTGTACGTGGCAGAAATGATCTCGTTATCAGAGTATCTGAGCTGGCAGCGCCAGGAGCCCGCATCACTCATGGCTGGCCGGAGGATGGAGAGAGCCCCATGCGAGGAGCAGAAGGTCCCGGAGGTGGGGACCAGGCGCCCGTTGTGGAACCAGCGTGTCTCCACAAGGTTGGCCCGGTGGCTAGAGTTGCAGCTCAACAAGAGTGGTTCATTTTCTACCACAGGGCTGGGTGGACTGAGGGTTACTGCAAGAAAAAGGAAGCAGCAGGGGGGAGGGGAGCAGGGAGAGTTAAGATCACAGGGGGACTACCAAACCATCCCTTTGTGCCTCTCCTGTCCTAGCTTTGTCCCTCAGGCAGTCCTCTCTCCAGAGCTGAGAGCAGACAGCGGGAAGCTGTGCGCTTTCAGGAGGCTGCTGCCTGTACTCTAACCTGCCCTGGCAAACATGGCATGCCCACCCCGTCCCACCCTTACAACCTCCCCGGTCCTACAGTCAACGTTCTCCACGGTTTCCATCTTCTCCTACCTGTAATTACACCCAGCTCCACCTGGCAGCTCCTGACCTCCGTGTTGTGTGTCACCTGTGCCTCATACAGCCCGGCGTCCTCGCTCCGGACCGGGTTGATTCGCAGGGAGAAATTGCCATTGCGTAAGGCGGAATCCTGGACTGAAACCCGGGGCTTCATGGGCAGTGCCGTCTTCCGAAGGCCCGAGTACCCCACCTCCAGCACCACGTGTGGCTCCTGGCGGGCGCTGGGAGTGGGACAAGTGAGCGGCTCGTGCCAGAGGCAAAGGTGAGATCGAGGCAGAGGGGCAAGATGGGGGGAATGTGGGGAAGGATAAAGGGGGCTCAAAGTGTCTCCCATCCTCCCCAGTCCCCCTGTGAGGACACGGATCTGTCTTGGCCCTGGCGTACCTTCCCCCATGCCGCTTCCACAGCACAGATGTCTTGTCAGGCAGCTGCTTCCACGTCTTTTTGGGGCTCAGGTGGCAAGGCAGCACGGCTGAACTCCCCGCTCTGGCCCACACTTTCTGCTCCCTGCTTTCCCCCTCTGCTACTCCTGGTAGGATGTGGCCAGCTGTAATGAGATGGAGGGTTGAGCAAAGGGTGGGATCCATGGAGCAGAGGGCAATATCTGGCCATCTTCGGTGGGGTTAGAAGGGCACAAATTCTCCTTCCCAGACCTGTCAGGGACCAAGTAACACCCAGACTCAACTTTCTGAGCTCCTCTGCCCTCCCTGATGCCTTCAGCCCCTCTTACCATTGAAAGCCAGCAGAGTGAAGGTGAGGAACAGCACCAGGGACATCAGCTTCATGGTGGCATCCAGGAGAGGCGAGGGGCAGCGTCTTCCCACTTGGGTCCGTACTTGATCAGGTCCGAAGCTTTAAGAGATCAGCAAAAATGAGCATGGGCAAAGAAGATGCTAGAGTGCATGGAGGAACCAAGGGGGGTCAGGTGGATGTGCTTGCTATCATGCTGTTTCTCTCTCTGATCAAATTATTTCCCTAGATGCTCTTATATTGCAGGTGGGCAGCTAATTTCCTCATATCAGTAAGAAGATGCGTCATGACCAAGAAACCAGTATAATTCTGAGGCACGTGAAGTCAGAGCTGGAGCCAGTGAGAGAGAGGAGGGAGGGACCACAGACACTGTTCTAAGCATCTTTTAGTGGAAATTCTTTGAGTCGCTGTTGTTTTTCTTACAAGTTTCGCTTCTACATAGACAGTGGAAAAAGTGTAGAAGACACTTCCCAGCAAGTGCCCTTCATGTTTTTCTTTCATCTCTTCCCTTTTTTGGTTTGATCTTTCCGCCTCTTATAGTTTCTGTCTACTTGTTTCAGGGCTTTTGAGAACACGTTGGTCTTCTTTTTGCTGCTCTTTTGTTGTTGTTGTTGTTTCTTTTTTTTTTTTCCTTCTTTAATCCTTAAAATACGCTGATTTCTTGGCTTTTTCTCATTGGCCAGTTCACAGGCAGCATGAGGAAAGGGTCTGTGGTGAGCTCCAACCAGGGCACGTGTGACCCATCAATCCAGAGTCCAGGGGCAATATGGCACAAAGCTGAGGTGGTCCGAGGAGACAGAGAGGGCCATCCAGGAGAAGCAACCAGCACCGAGAAGAGGGGCGGCATGCTGTGGCACTACAAGGGGTGTCAGGAAGGGACCCTTGCCCGCTGGCAGCGCTGGGGAAAACCCACCCGAGCTCGTGCGCTGAGGGGGCTTGTCCTAGCTCCTGTGTAGCTGCTGAGCTTTGCATAGGACAATACATTTCCATCCGTGTGCCTCATCCTCAGGCCCCTTTTGCCTCAGAGAACCCCCACTGTTGTGGCTCACACTTTCCAGCAACCCACTGGCTCTGACTCTTTTGGACTTAATCAGCCCTTCATGATGGGTGTCAGACACCCAAGCCCCTCGGTGGCTCATCCCCGAGGGCTGGGGCTTTTCCTGGGGGTGAGGGAAGGGAGGTGACTCAGAGCGGCCGCTTCTTCACTGTGGAAGGATCAGCTGGGTGGTGAAGGTGGAGGATAAAAGAGAGCAAGTGGTACGCCTCACTTCAACAGCTCCCTGTTATGGTGACTGCTCTCCTCTCTTTTATCTGGAGGCTCTTCAGCCTCCTGGGGAGTGGGATAGGTGTACAGGAACCTGGTGCGAACTTGTGTGCCTCAATGTCCCCAGGGCAGTGGGGATATTGTAGTGGTCCTTTGCGCCCTCTGTGTTACCCAGCCCATGGGATCTCACGAGAGAGGAAGAGAGGAGAGAAGATGGGTGAGAACTTGTGACGGTTGGCAGGACGTGTTTTTTCCTCCTGTTCAAGAAAAACAGTTTGTGGTGCCCAGTCCAAGCAGAAAGCATCAACCTCTCTTTCCCCTGAATCAGCAGTGCGAGAATGGTGTGAGTGTGTGGGTGAAGATGAGAGACAGAGAAGAGAGATGGAACCGTGGCGGGGAGACACATACGGCTCCGCAGCCCGGTGTCATCTGCTCCCCCTCCTCTGGCTTCGGCCAGGGGACACACCAAGCTCGCTGCTCTCCCCCTCCATCCCGACCCGCTCCGCACTCTTAACCTCGGCGCCCTGGCCCTATTCCCCTCTAGTCCCCAAAACCACCCTTAACTGAATCCCTGCTGTAGAAAACGCTTCTTTCTTGTAAGAACTGGCAAAGGAGAGAGATAGATTTCCATCCTGCTGCTGCTTCCCGAGACGCGGTCACGAGGGACTGATGGAGAGCCCGGGAAAGTGACAGGAGCTGTCTAGCACTGGGAGGGGGCATTTGGGGCCGAGGGGTTATTATGCTGAATGAGCATGTTGTGAAATGAAGGTTCTGGAGGCACTGTTTTACTCAGCACCAGGCTATCTTTAGCAAAGACACCTGTGACGTTTCTCTCTAACGACCCATTTTAAATGCTGACTCCCTTGAATGGCATTTTCGTCATCTCCCAGAACAGGACCCCGCCGCAGAAATAACAATGACGGGAGCAAGATCAGCATAGGGGCATCTTCTCAGAACAGCCTGTGTGGGTCCCTCAGGCGGAGGGGCTGACAGGGACGTGTGGACTCTGGCAGAGCCATGGGGAATGAGGGGCAGGCTACAATGAGAGTAGCCCAGGACTGGGATACAGAAGCCCAGCTCACTAAATACTCCTTTGTCCGTGTTAGGCATTAGCTAGCTTCAGCCAGGTTCCAGACTTACCCACAGCAGTCACCTTGCTCACAACCTTAATACATTGCTCTTCTTGTCTCCTTTGGCACGTCTTATGGGTACAAACTACACTTACCGCGAAAAATAGGAATAGAAAACACTATTCTGCAGTATCATTGAGTTAGTCTTGCTGAAGGAATTTTCCATTGCGTTTCCAGATTTCTGTGACACAATGTTTTTCTCTGAGTGATTCCACTTTCATGTTTTGGTCCTTGCAGCATCAAGTCTGAAGCTAGTCACAATCTTCTGCTTTATGCTGACTTTCTGAGGGGCTCTATAATTTATTTGCAGGCTTTTAACTGACTGAAGAAATTGCGCTGTGACTTGAAGACTGGGTTATCAGCCATGCAACTTGAGATCAGCTGGTTTGGGTGTTCCCGAGATAGAGCGCTCACCAAAAAGACCTCATGTAAAACGTCCTGATTGCTGTTTGCCCAGAGCTAAAGCAAACATAACAAGCAAAAAGAAGTTGCTTACTAATAAGAGATAACTAATAACTTTGTGGCGAGGGACTGTAAACAGAAAGCAGCCGTGCCTGGGGAGACAGAAGGGAAGGTCTGACAGGGGATGTAGGGTGAGCAAAAGCAGCTGGGCAGGTCAGTACTCAACAGGCGCCTGGATGGGCAATGGGCTTTCCAGGGGTGAGACTGGGATTAACTGTGAGACTTCTGACACTGACTGGGAAGCTCAGGGAGCTAAAAGAGATCTAAGCTCAGCTCCAGAAGTGAAGTAGTGGAGCTGCTCTTCTCTGGGTGCTCAGGACAGATGTAGTCGTTCTGGAGTGGGTGCGGACAGACCAAGCAGCAGTACCCTGAACTGAAAAGAGCCGGTGCCCATGGCTTGACAGGCTTTGTGTCAGATGCACAATGTGGAAATGCGTCGAAGTAGGCACCCCTGAGGTAGAGGGATGCAAGCCACTCCTCCTCCACAAAGGGCCATGATGGTTTCTACCAAGGTGCCAACCTGGGATCCATTCTGTAAATGAAATTGCTCAACTTCTCTAAGTCCAGGGTGGGTACCAAATGCGCTTCCTTTCTCACAGGAGGAAGCGGTTGCTCCAGACTTCTGTCCCTCTGCAATGCCTGGAAGCAGCATGTTATCTTCCCATGGCCAGGGTACACCACGTGTCAGAGTGGTCTTGGAGAAGGGACCCATTTACCTGAGGTGACAGATCCCAAAAAGGGGTGAGGAGAAGAGGATTAGAAAAGAGAAAGTTCACAACTCCCAGTAGATCTGGGCAAACCCAAAATGTGCCTCTGCAGAAGTGCTAGGAGGAGGAAGAGTGGCTGGCTGCCTGACCTTTATCGGCAGGCTCTTTTGAAAAGGTCCTTTTTAGAGGATTTGCTGAATGGGCAGTGCCTGTGTCACCACACGTCTCTGATGTGGAGCTGAGGAGAGTCTAGCGGTGGCCTGCTTCCCAGAATCCCATGGGAACACCTTTAGGAAAGCATAGCTTTATGGATTCTGGACAAATATGCAGCTTCTTTCTTTACAGTGCTAAAAGGTGAGTCACCTTTGTATGACAATCCTCAGCAGATAGCTGAATATCCCAGAGAAACCTGAATTAGAAAGTCAGGAACAACATTGGGGGTGCTGACCAAACCTGCAGGCTGCATTTCTGCTAAAAAAACCTAAGTGATTTAATCACTGAAGAGAATCTGCAGCATTCATAGACATATTTGGCAGCTAGCATCTTGTATCTGGCCAGCATCAGCTGTAGAGAAGTGTGGAACTGTTCTCTTTCAAAAGGCCTCCAGATCCTTCCTGGGGGAGAGATGGGATGCTGGAGGATCCTCTTCGGACATCCACAACTACCTGTGGAGATGGTGATGGATATCGGTACCTTGGCCAATATCTAGTTAAGCGATGTCTTTGATGCCACAGGATGTCTTTGATGCCACAGCCTCTGTGTTTTGCAACACAGAGGGTGAGGTGGATCAACTACAAAAATACATGCAGCAAGCTAGGTTACATTTTGACTCACTTCCCAATGCAGCATTCATGCCTTGCTTTTAATCCACTGGAAAAATATTTGATAGCCTCCCAAAGGTCCCAGGGCTGCAGTAAGTTTTCTCAAGAATGAAGAGGTACCCAGGAGCCCAACACATGCAAGGGATGGGAGAAGCATGCCAGCTGTGAGGAGAAAGCTCTCGGTTACAGTGACCTGACACTGAGGTGAAGGAATTGGGCTTTGACCCAATGTGCCATGTGTCGCTGAGTGACTGGGGCTGTAGCAGAATGGTCCTAAAAGATTCCCTTGACTCAGGTATGGGCTGAAAGGAGCTGAGAGGCACTCCGATAGGAGCTGAACCTTGGTCTGAGAGTGGGATTCCCAAAACCTGGTTCTCCCAGGGGTAGCTGGAGAGAAAGAGTCCGACCATCTGCAGGGTCCTTGGGCCCCGGAGCACTGGAAGCTCCAGTGCTGACAGCAGAGCTGGATGACAGACTAGCACTGGACATCAGGGGTAGTCCAGAAAGCAGGCGAGCACTGGCAGAAATGGCCAGCAAACAAGACCTCTGAAAGAGCTGTCAGCACCAAGACTGGTGTCAGGATAGGCTGGGAGGATGATGCTGGACACGTAGTGAAACCTGGGCACCCAGATTTCCTCATCAGATTATACA